GAATATGTTGAGACTTACATGTTAAAATCTGGAATAGCAACATACGTGAGAAGTATTGAATATGTTGTTCCTACAGGTAAGGTTTCATATGTTTCAGCTCATTTGAACTACCTGAAATCAACATAGACCCTATTTCTAAATGAAATCCAAGCAATTTTGCTAGACAAGATAAGATTTACATTATAGACCTAAAGCAAATCATATTTTACAGAAAAATGATGTGTCTATATAGGCCATTTCTTAGGCTCAATCTTAATTAATTCAAATTGACATTGGTTCACCTTATCAACAAGATCATAAATATATATAAGTTTTGAATCCATGTTTCAGCCTAATTTCTAAGACCTAGTTCTCTAATCTTCAGGCACACCAAGGCATATCACAAGATGAGAAAGGGTTAGTGTGCAAATACCTCAATTGCCAGAAACTATCACAAGAGATATGGATTGAAGCAGTTCAGAATGAGTTGATGCCATTGCGTCTGATTGTCCAGGTACTTTTTGTTCAGCAACTAAACATGCATAAAGCCTTCAAAGAATGCTCAGACTCATTTAGGTATGCACATTGTGGGGAATTCTCCAGTAGCCTCTCAAGCTCAAGATATTCAAACTCCAAAAGCCAGAACCTAGGCGAGAGTCCATATATAGACGGAGGCAAAGCAGTTAGTAGTAGACCCATCAGCTTCTTACTACAAAAAGATGCAGCAATTCATAGGTCTGAGTTGTCGAGGAAGGAATACAAATCCACAAGCTTCAGAATTCAGAGTCTTGAACAAGAACTCATGTCCTTGAAGAAAAGCCTTCAAATACAAAACATCTCTGCAAAAAAAGAACCGATTTCAAAGAAATCATAACCAAATTCTACTAATTGGCAGGGCTTGAGGCCTTATGGTTTGGAGGGAAGAACATTGAGCAAGAAGAGAAACCCACTTGGACAAGTGAGTGCTTGCATTGATCCTGTGAATTTTGCTTCCCACAGAAAGTATGCGAGCAGGTTACTGAAGGTGTTACGTAGAACAAGTTTATTTGGGAGAGGGAAATCAAAGAATAAGCCAAGTGCCTATGCCCTATGGCCCTAGTTAATGTAACACCAGAACTATATAGGTTTGTGATGTATGACAACTAAATCAGCAAAAATAGCTAAATTTAGCCAATGATCAAATATATTGAGTTTTCATACATTCAAATAAGCATATTTAAGTTCATTCCAACATGACATATATAACAGAGAACTGACTATTAATTACTCTCATTCATACAAGTATGTATGCAATTATATGTATGCAAATGCATAATATGTGCATTTATGCATGTGTCATGCATTTGTTCTATACTTTGGCAATATTTAACATTTAGTGACCAAAAAGGAAAAAAATAGGGAAAAAAAAAAAGAAAAGAAAGAGTTAGTAAGAACAAAACTACGAGGATACACACATGCAACTTATTATTGATAATAAAATAGGTGAGTGGAAATGTATGCTTTCCACCATGTTGACAGAGGCGATCCAAAATGAAAAAACAATGTAATTTCTATAATTTAGCCCAACCACTTTACATGATTTATTGAATTTCCTAATTAGACTTGATTTCATCTTCCTATGCATTAAAAAAATGTAAATAATTCTATATACTTTCTGCATTAGATAGCAATTTTTTTTATTTTTTTTTTTAATTTCATCTTCCTATGCATTAAAAAGCTTAATTTACTGCATTAAACAAGCCAATAAACAATTTTGCAAATTATGCAAAAGAGCTTTCCAATAATAATGGAAAAGCTTCACTCAGCATCACCGTTACGTTTGTGTTTGTTTCTCCAATCTAGAATTGAGGAATAATGCAGACTTTGAGATGTCAAAATGCTTTCTATAACAATACACTAACAACCCTTCCCCACCACTTCACCTTGACGTTTCCCATCATCTGATCAAATGTATCTGAAATGTAGGTTCCAGAAGAGTGGGTGGAGATTATCAATTAATTATTGAAAACTTAATTTTGTAGTAATGTCAAAGCTGGTCCAATCAGAATATGAGATGTGTCTAAATAGGGAGTTGCCAATAGCCATCACATTTCTAAACAGATAGTTAGCAAATTTTCACATACAGATGCAACAATGTAATCAGAGATGGCCACAAGAATGTTGCCTGCCAAATGTTGAACACATTGGCTCTCAATTAGTCGCAGAAGTATCTGTAAGGAAACATCAAGAACTATTATACGCTAATTGCACACTTCTACACCACAAGGCTGCTAAGCTAATACTCCATCCACAGATGATGTAAATTAGGCACCATTTCACACTTTATACCCAAATCAATATCTTCTTTATGTAAGAAGAGATATAAAACATCTATTGTATTATATGAAATGGTTAGAAGAACCCAAAACCAGCCTCAAACCACAATATTTTGAACTTAGTTTAATACCACCAAATTCCCTGAGACATAATCATAACAGGGAAGCAAATAAATTCTTTACTAATATAATCATAGCATCAAATTTCAATTCAAATAATCAGAATACATACACAATCAATGAGCAACCATACATGCAAATACATACACAATTTGAAACTAATGAGCAGCCATTCATGGAAATACATACACAATGAATCAGATTAGGGGTTTAAGCATAATGAGAGAGAAAGGAAAAGAGGGGAAAAGGTATCAAACCACCTAAATCAAACCTATTTACCACATCAAACCCATAAAACCCTAGAAATCAAACCACTTAAACCAAACCCATTTCAGAAATCAACACGAAATTACACTATGTTTGGGTACCTAAGAGAGAAAAGAAAAGAAATGATTACTTAAGTTATAAGAGAAAAGAAAAGAAAAGAAATGATTGTAATTTCTCTCCTTCTTGTTTGGATAAGTAAGAAATAAAAGAAAGAAATGATTGTGATTTCTCTCCTTCTTGTTTGGTTAGATTTCATAAGAGAAAAGAAAAGAAACTGTTTTACGTTATATTACCAAAATAAACTTTTTATATTTTGTCACTATATAAGAGCATCTCTAATCTTCACTTTTTTTTCCTTTTTTTTTTCATTCAATTTTGAGAAAAAAAATTCATATTTTTTTTTCTTTTATTTATTTTTTTATGTGATTGTTATAATTTTAACTGGATCTAAGCAGCATCATAGACTTATAATTCAACGCAAAGGAGAATTTTCAACAATGAAGATGTCATGGGTAGGAGTGAGAGTGTATTAGGTAATCTTCCAAAAGTAAGAATTAAAAGAGTTAAAATCATCCCCAACATCTTGAGACCAATCAAGGAAACAGTATGAAATTGAGTCAAGAAAAATGGGTATTAAAGCAAGGAATTCATCATCCACAAAAGATCCAAAAAGAGTTAAAATCATCTACAAAAGATCCAAAATAAGTTCAAAGTCATCCACAAAAAACACCATATCCTATATGGAGTCAGGTACAAAATACGATAAACATCTCTAATGTCCCCTTCAAAGAAAGTACAATCCCATCTATAGAAGAGTTACCAACGCTATCATCCACAAAAGATCCAAAAAGAGTTAAAATCATCCACAAAAAATCCAAAATAAGTTCAAAGTCATCCACAAAAGACACCACATCCTAAATTGAATCAAGTATAAAATACGATAGACATCTCTAATTTTCCCTTCAAATAAAGATCGATCCCATCTATAGAAGAGTTACCAACGATTCTCAGGGTCATACATCATGCTCTCTAAAGTTTCCTTGCGATACTCTACTGGGAAACCAAAGAATTGCATCATCCTCTCAGATTTCTTGGTAAGAAAAAGGTATGCCTCAGTAAATAAGTGTGGCACAATTCCAATTTCCTCTAATGCTTTATGCAACTCTCCTCTTGGAAAACGTCCTTGGGATTTCTCCATAGAAGCATTTCCCTCTCCTATAGCTGATGCAATATCCTGCAATGCTGTTTTCAGTATGTCAACGTCCCTCTCACCATTATTTGAGAGCTTTCTTTTCTTTGCCTTCGAAGATGTTCCACTTTTAGGAGACAGTACAACATCATCTTGATCCATAACAAAACTTTCCAAGTTTGCTTCATTTTGGTGCACCAGTTCATCAATGACTTTAATTCTATCTACATGATCATTATTTGATGAGTTGGCCCATCGTCGTACTTTTTCCTTAGCAGTTTCAGCACCTACACCAGTTGCCCTATCCTTTCCATAGATCTCAGCCAGCTTTTCATAGTTGCCAGTGGGTGTACATTTCCATTTCTCAGCATGTGGTTTCACCTTTTACCAAAAAAAACAAAATAGAAAAGTTACAGTTAAATATAAGTTATGTTTTTCTATTTTGTTTTTAAAAAAATCAACATGAACTGAAATTAATTGAAGTACCTCAATCAATGCCTCCCAAACTTCAGGTTTAGCAGTGAACATCCTTGTAACCGGGCTCCAAGCAAAACCACTAGTATGTTTGAATAAATCATAGCACTCAGCAAAATGCTCTTTGATAGTTTTCAGCCTATTCTTGACTTTGGCCTTATCTAAGTCCAAGTTGTATATCTCACGTAATTCCTTTACTATTTTGTCATATGCTGAAGTAGTGAAAGTTCCATTGACCCTATTTCCTTCAACATGTTGGTGATACAATGCATCATCCATTTGATTTGTCCATGAAAGTTTTTCTCTCTTAGAATCTTCGAACTTCTGTGTTTTTTTACCCATTTATAAAATCTACATCAAAATAAATTCAGAGTAACATCATAAACTACAATAATGTCACCACAATAGCAAAGTTATGGATACATCCGAATCTACAACAAAATAAATTCAAAGTAACATCATAAGCCACAATAATGTCATCACAATAGCAAAGTTGTGGATATATCCGAATCTATAACAAAATAAATTCAAAGTAATATCATAAACCACAATAATGTCATCACAATAGCAAAGTTATGGATATATCTGATCCGATGTTCAAGTACTTATCACATAAAATCAAGATGGCTACCAAACATGTAAAAACTAAAATATCACTATTGATTAGCAACATAATCAGACCACATTGTAGCTGCTATCATATTTCTAATGAGGTCCCATTGTTTTGCATCCTCATCAGTATCCCTTGGTGCACGAGTCGATTGTTGAGTTTGACATTGATTTTCAAGCTCTTTGTCTACTTCAGCAATAATGTTTTCATCTAGATCAACACCCATTAAAAAGTTATGTAAGATGCAACATGCTATTACGATATTTGATTGTGTGCTAACCGAGTAAGTAGGCTCAGTTGTGCTTGCTATGATGGGAAATCGTTTCTTTAGCACACCAAAAGCTCTCTCAATGGCATTGCGTAAAGAAGCATGTCGGTGGTTAAATAACTCTCGAGCATTTTCCGGTGGATGGTTGGAATACTCTTTCAAGTGATAACGCACACCTCTGTAAGGAGGGATAAGGGAACTCCTTAACATATACCCCGCATCAACAAGATAAAATTTGCCTATTTAAAACAAAACACATCACTATGTTAAACCCCAAATCTATATAATTTAACAAAAGTTTCATATTATCAAAGCATGAATTACCATTGGGTATTTTCAGTTTATCTTCTCTAGTGAGTGCATTTTTTATGATCCTTGAGCCAGATGCAGTCCCCTCCCATCCAAGTAAGACATAAGTGAATTTTAAGTCAAATGAACATGCAGCCAATACATTTTGTGTAGGGTAACCTTTTCTACCACAATATCTCGGCGCATCCTTGCTAGATACTTTAACACGAACATGTGTTCCATCAAGTGCTCCAATACAATCTTAACATAAATGTATCATGTGGCAGTTTTATATATAAATAAAACTAAAAATTTAAAGCGAAATGTAATATCGATTTTTTACCTTAAAATATGGATGGAACCTATTATTATTGAGTATTTCTGGAGGGACTTCGGATCCATTAGGTTGGCAAAGAAATCGATCTTCTAATGATATAAGAGCTCTCAAAAAACTATGAAAATGCCGACTTACAATCTCACCGGAGCGACGAAAGAAAAATGAATCATTTCTATTCATCACACTATGTGACAAAATGTAAAGACACTTTGCAACTTGCTCCTCAACTGTTGCACATTTTGTTGGTTTCAGACCACCATCTCTTTCAAGTATATGACACAAATCTTGAAATGTCTGCGGCCCCATACGGGTGATATTTCGATAATTCTTATTACATTTAAGTTTTGTCATTAGTTCAATCCTCACTTTTTCTCTCTTCAAGTAATTAATAGGATGGTCCACATACTTCCTAAGGTGATATTTTCTCTGCATATACCAATATACCACATGGCAAAGAACTTGAACAACAGCTAACTTTTGCCTTCTATCCCACATAATCAAGTCCTTTCTTAGCTCTTTGTCTTGCTGATCCATTTATCCTATATTTTTTATTAAAATAAATCAGTATACATTTTTACTAAAAGCAATAAATTTTTTTTTAGCTCTTTGTATACATCTTGTTGATCCATAATCGTTAGGAATAATTTTTTTCTATTTCAACATTCATTTCAAATGAATAAAGGAAAATAATTAGAATATTTAAAATGTCTTTCCTAATTTGTTATAAAATCAATCATGTAATCATATAATGGCCAAATCAAGAATTTTAGATTGTAAATTAAAAGTGTCATGCTTTGAAAGTTTTACTGCACTACAAATTGCAAAAACCAAAAAAGCAAAATTGTTTAAAAGGAAATAAGTTGATGGGCATGCATAATTTTATAATCTTAATGCTTGGGGGAAAAAAAAACATTCATACTATTCACAAACTATGTCTTATTAAGCAATTGACATGGGTGCAGGGTGCCCCATCACAATGTAGAGAACAACACTATTATTTATCTAGCAAAGAAAGTGAGTATTTAAGCCATGGCAATTTATTCCTCCCTTCTCATTTTAATTATATTTATTAAATATATTTATTTATATATATATATATATAATTTAATATTTTAATATAATAAAATTAAAACGTTAAAATTTTACACTTAACATTTATTTTCACTCATTTATTTCTCATATTATATCTTTTAAATCTCATTAATCATAAATCATTATTTATAATATAATATAATTTTTGGTAAAATTCTCATTCTTAAATAAAAATATCTCGCCTGTGATACGATTTGAAACAGAGCAATGCACTACAAATCTATCCTATTGCCATCTCTATTCAAATGGATAACAAACTAGTGTATTATAAAATTGTTCCAGAGATGAAACTGTAATTTCAGAATATATAATACATAACAATAGAAAGCGTAGAGAATATATATATAATACATAACAAAGTATATAATACATAACAATAGATGGGCAATCCACTGTAATTTCAGAAGATGATTACCTGCACAACAAGAAGAAGAAAGCATAGAGAGGGCTGAAGCAGTGGGGAGAGAGGTGGAGAAGTGGATAGTCAAAAATTTATGCTGGATATGAAAAGCCTTGAGGACATGGGTGTCAACTATTTTATTTCTTTTATTTTTACAGGGATAAAATTGGTATTATGAAAATATAAACATTTGTTGGTTTCTTTTCTCTCCCAATCTCTCCACTTTTGGGAAGATTGAAAATGAAGGATATAAGAGAAATGAGTTTCTCTCCATTTCTCTCTATTTCTCCTAATTTCTCTCCACTTAAGATAACCAAACAAGGAAGAGAAATACATTTCTCTCTATTTCTTTTCTCTTCTCTCCAAATCACTCAATCCAAACATAGCATTAGACTTGGTAAATCGTGTAAAACCCTAAAGCAAAGTGAGAAATGGGAAAATAGAGGAAGGGAGAGAGAGACAGAGAACGAGAGAGAGAGAGAGAGAGAGCGAGCGACTGAGAGCAAGAGTGAGAGCGAAAGAGACAGACAGCGAGCGAGAGAGAGAGAGAGAGAGCAAAAGAGAAAGGGAAGAAAGAGAAAGAACTTGTTCGTATTGTGGTAGTGACCGTAGTGATTTGCGGTGGCAGCGATGTGCAACAGACGTGAGCAACGGTGGTGAGGGACTTCGGTGAAGTGAGGAGGTGAGGTTCTCTCTGTGTGAAAAAGAGATAGAGGAAAGGGACTCAAATCTGGGCGCCTAAATCTGGGTGCCTAAAATATGTTCCTACTAAATATTATAAATCTTTTAGCGACTAAAATGTTTTTTAGTCACCATAAGTTGACTATTTGGTGACTAATTGTTCTTTTGTAGGAAAAAATTGAGTATACCGCGACTAAATATTTTTCAGTCGCCAAAACTGCATATTTGCCGACTAAATTCTTAGTCACCAAAGAGTAACAGTGCAGATGTGGCTATTATTTGGCGACTAAATTTATTTTAGTCGGCAAAAATTAGTATACTATGACTAAAATAAAATTTAGTAGCTAAAAAGCTAGAGTAACGGCGACTGATAATTTTTTTAGTCACCTATTGTGAAAAATTTAATGACCAATGTTTTTTTCAGTCACCAATAAATAATATACATCGACTAAAATATTTTAGTAGCAAAAACTTGAACCAACGGTGACCAAAATAATTTTTAGTAGCCAAAAATTGAACTTTTGGGGACAAATCCCTTTTAGTCGCCAAATTTGGTCCCAAAAATTTAAATTGTTGTAGTGATCTTTCTATTTGAGATCATTTATCCTATTGTTTTTTCTTTATTATTTAACCATTAAGAAATGACAATCAACTATATTCCTTTCTATCTTGTTGTGTTAAGCTTAATTATTGTGAGAATTCTATGACTGCCATTATAGGCAAGGGTTCAAAAATATCAAATATATATACAAGAACTTAGAAATTTGTAGAAATTGTAGTATAATTAGCACTCCAATTTATCTATTTATTCATATTGTTTTTTACTCTTCCATTGGTATAGTCCACTAAATTTCAAAAACTAAAATGTTAAACGCGAGTATCAATAAGTCTACTTAAGAAACAATATTATCAAATTGGAATCACAATCATTGACTCAAGAATAGATGAAAAGAATGTATTAGTTTTAAGTTGGAAAAAAAAATGAAAGGTTTTATTCATTCATACCTTATAATAGAGTAATTAAACGACATAGGAGGACCGATCCAAAAATAAATAAATAAAACTCCCTAGACTTGGTTTTCTTGTTCTAAATTGCAACTAATGTTGTTATATATATACTACGTATTTGCTTCTCTTTTTTTTATTTTAAATATCATCTTTTCCACCAAACAATTTATTTCAAAAAAAATTGCTTGAATCCCACATGGAATTCTTGGGGTTTTATTTGTTTTTTTTTTTTATGTCAATATAAAATTTTATTAACACCAAATAACGTGTTTTGTTTTTAAAGTGAGATCTTGAAGCTTCAAGCTTTTCAAAGCGATTCAATTTTTAAATGCAAGAGTGACTAGCATTAAAAATTTAAGATTAAAATCCAGCAACAAAAGACTAAAATGTTAAGTTCTATAATGTATTTAATAAATAAATAATCAAAAGTCAATTTACATTAATAATGAGAAACTTTTATGCCTTACCTAAATATTGCCTTACCTAAATATTTGGGTTTTTTTTACTTTCTAATTTGTTCATTTTTTTTACTTTTATTTTCTTGTAACAGCTAAGACCCTATGGCTTTCCCATCTGTTTGCTTCCATAGAAAACCACATTGATATATTTTCCCAGGAAAGTATTTGTTTCTCAGAAAATAAAGAAGCATACCTGTAGACACCTCATTTTCGACCGTCCTCAAGACTTGGACGTCACTGTTTGAACACTCGGTGATTATCCATGTTTGTGTTCGTTTGGAGTTCCCGGAGGTCTCGGCTACACGCCCTGCCTCAGGATCTCCGAACTCGACCGTTTAGTGTCTGGGTTCACACCAAACACTTGTGTTTTGCCTTGGAGGGGCAGGGAATGCCTTGCGAGGCATCCCCACACATCACCCGCCATGGCTTGAGGCCACTGGCCAGTGATTTTATGCCATCGGCAATGTATATTGCCGGTCGGCATTCTTTGTTGCCGGTCGGCACTCCCTTTTGCCAAAATGGTATTTTTGGCCAGCCGACTACTGTTCATCTGCTTTTGCAGATATTTTAGGACAGCTGTATGGCATTTTGTTCCTCTCCATACACGTGTATGGAAGGATGGCTTCCTTGTTAGCTTACCTTGTAAGCTTTGCAAGATTGGCTCCTCTATAAGAGGAGCCCTCCCCTCTTGGCTTGAGGTTGGGATTTTTAGAGATAAAAAATACAGAGAAGAGCTCTAGTTTTAGGGTTAGGGTTTGATACACATTCTCTCTCTCTTTTTCCCTCTTGTGTGTGTCTAGGTGCATTTGTGTCTTACTATTGCACACAAGCACATAGTATTACACCTTCCCTTGGCTACTGAGGTTCCAAGAGGTTGTTCTTGAAGTTCTTGGGTGGTTTTGAGCTTGAAGAACCAACTGGTCCACCATTTTTGAAGAAAGTCTTCAAGGGTAAGAAACTTGCCTTTATATTCCCTATTTTTGCATTGTTTTTTTAGCTATCTTAGAACTGTTTTTGTGCTTAGTGTATAATACAAAAAAGTTCTTTTTTTAGGCCCTCTAAATAGTTTGTTTAGAGTGTTTTGTGGTTTGGAGGTGTTTGACCCCTCTTAGGCCTTGAAAGGCCCCCTTTTGTGCTATTTTGAGTGAGTTCCGAGACCTTGATGTTTGGGCCTCCTCACCACTAAAATCTTGAGGGATTTCAGAGGTGAGGATGGTGCCTTGAGGTCCCAAGAAGGAGAGGGCCACCCCCTCTCCTTATTGTCCTTGAAATGGACCATTTTTGGCCTCTTGAGGGAGCATCTAGCTAAGCTTCATGTTGACCATGCCTTGACTATTTTTTGTGCCTATTATATCATAATATGCCTCTGTTTATTGTTGGTTTTGGTACACCATGCATGCTTAGCATACCTACCTTGTAATGCCATGTTTAGGCCTTAACATACCTTAGGTTGTAAACCCTTGTTCAAGCATGTTTTAGGCTTAGCCTTGTGAAGCTTTTGTGCATATTTTGCCATGTTTAAGGTCTGTCCATAGTGGTTTGGGTCGGCTTTGGCATGCTTAGTATAGCCCCTTTGCATTCTGGCTTGTTGGCCTTAAGTGTGTGAGTATGTAGCATGCATTACTTGTCTTGTTTTAATGGTTTGGCATCATTTATAGCATCATTTCAGTCCCCTTAGCATGCTTGTATGCTTGCCTTGGATGTCTCTTTGATGCCTTATGAGCTGTGTTATATGCTCCATGTTTTGACCATTGTACATGTCTTTGAATTTGAGCCACTTAGATGCCATCTAGGGGGCCCCCTTTGCATGGTCTAGGTCTGCCTTGAACCTATTTTAAGTCCTCTTAGCCTTGTGAGGCTTGGTTGACTTGGTCATGGTTCAAGCCCCTTTGACT